GTGCCACTGCACTCCAGCCTGGGCGACAGAGTGAGACCCTGTCTCAAAAAAAAAAATTAAAAAATAATAAATGGTTTTTCCTTTTGTTAACTTTTACCAGATGAAACTTAAGAATTTGAGGAAATACAGTTATTGCATGATTGATACATTCAATTTTCAGACAATGCACAGGCCTGCCTGGAAAAAAATATCCAGATTCTCAGATTTTACTTCTAAAACCACTTGTGCACTCTTCTGTTTCAGAGGAGACACCATGATCTCATGCCTATGTCTACATAACCAAAAGGAAATAAGACAAGGTTTCTAAAACCCTCTGACAACATACCCTGAATTATTAATACTGGATACGAAGGCATTATCAGTACAGTGAATCTTAAAGATCTGAGACGCACATGTTAGGTTTGTGGATTATGCCCAGCACAGGCTTCTTTCTTTGCACCACCCACGCATGAAGCAGTGCTAGGATGGGGGAAGAGTGTGTGCCAGTGCCTCAGCCTGAATGTGAATCAGAATGCATGCCAAAGCCAAACACAAACGCTTTTGCATTATCCATGGCTTCGTTTTCCTCATACCCTTCCCCTGGTGTATTAAACGGGCTCCAGGAGTGGAGCACATGCATTTATTCACACATGTCTTTCTGCAAAACTCAAACCTCTTTATGTCTCAATGAGAAATCAAGCACCCGACATTTCCTTTAGAAGCAAATTCATAAAGAATTCAAGTTAGAAAACAGGACACTATGAAAAGCATAAATTTAAGAGCAATACCTTGATATGGAAGCCACTCTCCAGTCTTGATTTGTTGATAAAATTATACTGTGGTACTCCCCAACCAATTTCACCAACGTACTCATGTTTATATTTTGCTGGCAAGCTTCTATTTGAGGCAGGCCTCCATAAATATCTGAGATCTCCAGTTTTTTCTAATGCCGGATGCTGTTCTCCTACATAGCAGGTGTGCTGATGAATTTTGGGTAAATAATCCTTTATGTAGTCTGGACCTTTAAAAGACAAAAAGTACTTAAAATTTCTCCACACTTTATTCTAAGATACTTTTGTTAATGTAACCATTGAAATACTAATAGCCAATAATTATATGGCACTTACTATATTCTAGGTTCTATTATAAGCCTTTTAGACATGTTAATTCATATTAATACTTATTTATAATTAATAATTCTTATTAATGCTTATTAGTAACCAAATGAGACTGGTAGAATTTTTTTTCTCCAGTTTATGTATGGGGAAAATGAAAGATTGGTTACTTGTCCAGAATTATAGCTAACAAGGTCTTTGTACCCAGACAGGCTGATGCAAAGGTTGGGCTCTTAATTGACCCATTAAACTGCTTTGTATATAATCAACTTAACATAGACATGGGCTGGATGTGGTGGTTTATGCCTGTAATCCCAGCACTTTGGGAGGCCAAAGTGGGTGGATCGCTTGAACTCAGGAATCTGAGACCAGCCTGGATAACTAGTGAGACCCTGTCTCTACAAAAAATAAAAATTAGCCATGCATGGTGGCACACACCTGTGGTCCCAGCTATTTGAGAGATGGAGGTGAGAGGATTGCTTAAGCCCAGGAGGTGGAGGCTGCAGTGAGCTGTGACTGTGCCACTGCACTTCAGCTTGGGCAATAGAGCAAGACCACCTCAAAAAAAAAAAAAAAAAAAAAGACATGATCTATTCTAAAATTTCTCACATGCCATATTTGCAGGATGTAGGCCTTCAAATATTGAGGTGTTTTATCTAGGTAGATAAAAATCTGAAATGAGTATTAGAATACTCCCCAAATGTATTAGCAAAAAATTGAAAAATGGAGAAAATTGTTAGATGAGGGTAAGCTTATAACATTACCAAAGGCAGAAGCATTTGCATTTTAAAAGTAAAACAATGAACAAAAAAAAAAAAAAGAATTATAGAAATAGGTGAAAAAAGCAGAAATAAGAGGTCTGGGAAAAGATTAAATTTTTTTACTATGATATTTTAAGTTCTGGGGTACATGTGCAGAACGTGCAGATTTGTTACATAGGTATACACGTGCCATGGTGGTTTGCTGCACCCATCAGCCCATTATCTACATTAAGTATTTATCCTAATGCTATCCCTCCCCTAGCCCCCCACCCCGACAGGCCCCCGTGTGTGATGTTCCCCTCCCTGTGCCCATATGTTCTCACTGTTCAACTCCCACTTATGAGGGAGGACATGAGGTGTTTGGTTTTCTGTTCCTCAGTCACTTTGCTGAGAATGACGGTTTCCAGCTTCATTCATGTCCCTCCAAAGGACATGAACTCATTCTTTTTCATGGCTGCATAGTTATTCCATGGTATATATGTGCCACAATTTCTTTATCCAGTCTAACATTGATGGACATTTGGGTTGGTTCCAAGTCTTCGCTACTGTGAATAGTGCTGCAGTAAACATATGTGTGCTTGACACATATGTTTCTCTTTGACAAACCTTACAAAACTAATGGGGAAAGGATTCCCTACTTAATAAATTGTGTTGGGAAAACTGGCTAGCCATATGCAGAAAACTGAAATTGAACCCCTTCCTTACCCCTTATACAAAAATTAACTCAAGATGGACTAAATACTTAAATGTAAGACCCAAAACCATAAAACCCCTAGAAGAAAACCTAGGCAATACCATTCAGGACATAGGCATGGGCAAAGATTTCATGACTAAAACACCAAAAGCAATGGCAACGAAAGCCAAAATTGATAAATGGGATCTAATTAGACTAAAGAGCTTCTGCACAGCAAAAGAAACTATCATCAGAGTGAACAGGCAACCTACAAAATGGGAGAAAATTATGTTTTCTGTCCATCTGACAAAGGGCTAATATCCAGAATCTACAAAGAACTTAAATTTACAAGAAAAACACACCTTATCAAAAAGCGGGTGAAGGATATGAACAGGCACTTCTCCCAGACATTTATGCAGCCAACAAACATACGAAAAAAAGTTCGTTATCACTGGTCATTAGAGAAATGCAAATCAAAACCACAGTGAGATACCATCTCACCCCAGTTAGAATGGCAATCATTAAAAAGTCAGGAAACAACAGATTCTGGAGAGGATGTGGAGAAATAGGAATGCTTTTATACTGTTGACGGGAGTGTAAATTAGTTCAACTATTGTGGAAGACAGCGTGGTGATTCCTCAAGGATCTAGAACCAGAAATACCATTTGACTCAGCAATCCCATCACTGGGTATATACCCAAAGGATTATAAATCATTCTACTATAAAGACACATGCACACATATGTTTATTGTGGCACTGTTCACAATAGTGAACAGTGAATAGTGAATGCTGACTTGGAACCAACCCAAATGCCCATCAGTGAAAGACTGGATAAATGTGCCACATATACACCATGGAATACTACCCAGCCATAAAAAAGATGAGGTCATGTTCTTTGCAGGGACATGGATGAAGCTGAAAATCATCATCCTCAGCAAACTAACACAAGAATAGAAAACCAAACACTGCATGTTCTCACTCATAAGTGGGAGTTGAACAATGAGAACACATGGACATAGGCAGGGGAACATCATACATTGGGTCCTGTTGTGGGGTGAGGGGCTAGGAGAGGGATAGCATTAGGAGAAATACATAATGTAGATGATGGGCTGATGGGTGCAGCAAACCACCATGGCACATGTAAACAAACCTGCATGTTCTGCACATGTACCCCAGAACTTAAAAGATAATAAAAACCTTTTGCAGCTAGCTCAAATAAATGCTTTTTTTAAAAAGAGATAGGGTCTTGCTATGTTGCCCAGGCTGAAGTGCAGTGGCTATTCACAGGTACAATAATAGTGCTCTAAAGACTTGAACTCCTGGGCTCAAATGATTCTCCTGCCTCAACCTCCCAAGTAGCTGGGACTACGGCACATGCCACCAAGCTCTGCTAAAATTGGTAAAGTTAATCATGTGAATGTGAAAGACCTAAGACTTTCTGTAAGAAATGGTGCTTACTGATGAAAGATAAGACAATGAAGCTACTGGCCCAGGAAGAAGTTCAAAAACCCCATAGCCAAAATGAGTGTAGACGTGTATGGGCAGACTGGGGACAGAAAGAAGGAACTTCATTTCTTTTCCAAAAGTTAACCAAAGACCTTGGAGAGAAAATCTGTGTTGTGGTGACACTGCCTCAGTCCTTTCTGGCTCCTGTGGCTCCTTTCATCTTGCTCTTAAATCAGGGAGCTCAGTATTTGCAGAAAGTGCAAGGCGGGCAAAGGCTTTGATCCACTGCCCCTGACGCGTGGACCAGGTACTCTTGATAGGATGGTAAACGTGTAACAAGACTGTGCTCAGAAAACGAATCTCAGCTTTCCAAGGAAGCCGAAAATGTGAGGGTTTTTCCAGAAACAATTTTAGCAGGTGTTTTCACAGCTTCCTAATCACCCTCACTCCCCAAGAAAATTGAGTATTCACTGAGTGGCTAATTTCCCCTGATGAATACATCGTGGCTTCAGTTTTATTTGCTTCAGGTTTTCACTTAGATAGACCTACCTTGATAAAGCACAGAATCGTCAGAGCATGAAAACCTGTTTTCTCTCTCCATATGACAGGTGTTGAGGTCTCATTTGCAAAACTCTGTCATAAGGAACTTTTTGCAATCTCTTCTAAACAGTGAAATATGGAAGAACTGTGTTAGTCTTTTTGGAATTGCAGTGTATGTTTAAGCCAGTTTTTAAATTTTATTTTACTCTGAGGTGTACCCTTCAGAAGATACTTTTTTCCCTTTTCAGAAACAGGACCTTGCTTCACCCAGGCTGAAGTAAAGTGA